TGCGTTTACCAATGCTTAAAAAAGACCTACTAGCATCTATTATGTTACTATCCGTGCTTATCAAGTTTCAGTATTAAGAATATTGACAGACAGTCTTCAAGTCATTTCACAAACATCTTCATTATCAGAGCTAAACGACTACATACATTCATTTATACATCCGGCTAATTGTAAAATGCACACCTTTCCCACAAAAATTGTGGGAACTGTCCAGTAGCGCATTTGCTAAAATGGAAGACAGAAACAGAGCAGCGCGAGGTTACCTTAGAGGCAATGACCTGTACATAAACCTATTACAACTCTGATATCTGTACGGGGCATCTTAATGAGAGAGTTTGATTTTCTTTTATCAGAGCGTGGCCAAATTGCATACAGATGTCTGCATACCATTGAATCTTATTATCTTTTTTAAAAAGTTCGTCAAAGGAAGAACTCAGTGCCACTTTGCATGATGTCAATGATATGCCCACATTGTTTAGGTGTTCCAAATAATTTCCTGAAGCACTCCGTTTAGCTACCTCGTCTGCTTTACAATTACCGTTGTATATCCCTATGACCGAGAGCCTAGATTTGAGAAATATTGAATTGCGTTGACATCTCATTTAGAGATATGTAGTAAATCGGACTGAACTCAAGGACTTTAAAGTAGCTTGACTGTGCGATAATACAGTTAAATGTACTACTCACATTTTAAAAACTATGTGCAAGTTTTTGAATTTATTAAATTATTAAATTCTTATCAAGTTCTAATCATTGAGTCATTAAATTTTATAATTATAATTAAATAAAATAAAATTATATAACAATATAATCGAAAAATCTTATAAAAGATCAGTGACAATAGATCATGTCTAAGGAATAGAACTTTTATCAGTTTTTAATTTTTGAAAAACCGTTTTTCATCCTACATAATATCGATTACAAATCTACATAGAAGTCTGGTATTGCTAGAAACCCATAATTCAATAAAGTGGGATGAATATACCATATATCCGAAACAGCAGCATAGGTTAGCCAAAAATTTACGTAAATAAGAATTAAAACTTTAACACTATTCGTCTGTTACTATTTAAGTATCCCTTAATATATGTCTCCCAAATTTTTTCAATGAATTTTATGCACTACTAAGCATTCAATTATTTTCAATATTAATTAAATATACCATAAAATAAATATATTATTTAATTAAATATGAAAAAATTTTATTTTAGGTGATTAAAAATATTTTAATAAGCAAATACTCTGACTGGTAATAACAATGCACAATAGTTATTACTTAGCCACAAAATATTTTATTTTATGAATTATCATTGTTTATATCAAATAAAATGCTAATGTTATTGTGGTCAACCTAATTGTGCATTAAAGCTCGAAAAAAAAATAATGCAAATAAAACAAAGACTTAAAAAAGTAATTAAAGCACAAATAATCACTAATTGCATGCTCTTTAAAATTATTTAAAATTAATTTTTAATTGGTTTTTCATAAAACTAAACAAGGAAGTATTAATAGAGAGTATACTCTGTATACGCATGTAAATATAAACAAATTCGTATTTTGCTCGTAGTATATTTACACATATCATTACAATTTATTTTAATTACTTGTATCATAATACTTGTAAATCAGCAAATATGTTAATTAATATTTGTTTTATGCTGTTCAAGTGAATAATTTTTAATTTATCATTCATTATTTTTGCTTATAGTTTAAAATTGAAATCGATGCAATAAAAGAGAAGTGGCAACATTGACCCAATTGAAGCACTTGATTGATTATTGCTGTCGTAAATCGTTCACACATTAAACAAGGATAATGAAAAGGATGCAAAGAGCTTAATGCTGCTAAAACTGATTTCAAATGAACCATTTTAGGCTACACTAAAGGATTATATTGATTACTTGTTCATTGATTTTGAAAAGTTATTTCTTTTAGATTGAGCCTCTTTCCTATTTTATGTAAATTTAAAAAAAAAAATTTATCACTTAAACGATTAATGCAGTATATGTATAGTATACGTATCTTTAGAGAAAAATTACATAAAAAATACATTCTAAAATATAATCAGACAAAATACAGACCTCATCAAATGACTATCAGTGTTGACTATAAATTTTTAAGATTGATTTTAAACAGGATTTTTTTTAATCCATTAATTTGCGGTATCTATAACATGAGTTGATATATTAGGTTCTTCTCAGAATATCTCTTCCTGAATCCTATACTTAACTGTGATTAACCTAAATATTTGTTTTCACAAGAAGAAATCCTGCAACCATTCTGGCAAGGGAGTTTAAAATAAATTCTCTCCAATAATTCTTTATTTTCACCGGTCACTTTTTTGAGCAATTGGAATTGAATTATTTCGAATAAATTTCCAGCATCAATTTATTATATAATTAACCGTTTAAAGCATAACACTATAATTAAAAAATCATGTCTGTTTATAATTTTGAACTCTTTGCAGTGTTTTTCTTGGGCAATTAAATATAAAATCCAAATAATGTTAACAGTATAATGAGGTCTGTAATTATCACCAAATCTTTGATTTCCTTTGATGAATTGTAAACATTTTCTATACCATAGCCTCGTCACTGATGATTTTCTGCAGTATTCTCAATGTGTCTTCATTAGAAATGAAATTACATAAACAAAATTTAACGTATATTTGTTGCTCAATTAAATCAGACATTGTGAAGAACAGAACCGTATCGATTATCGTCACAATCAAAATCCGTATGTTATAAAATAAAGGTTTCATTTCAATAATTGATCGCAGTGATAAATAATGAATTATTTTATGCGCCTTCAAGAATTTTTAATGAATTTTATGATTACCATTGTTTTTAATGATTTACTATATTTCTGCGAATATTTAAGATTTATTAAAATTTTATAAAAAACGAAAAAATTTATATCTATGCTACTTATGTTATCTGTCGCTTTTTGCTCGAATTTGGTGGCCGAACTGAACATGTTTAGGGTCGTTATGTTGACAAGTCATTACCACTTATATGATTATTTTATTCATTTTTAGTTTCTTTTGTTGTATTTTTTTTATTCAATATTATTTTTTCAATATTTCTATATTTAAAATGCCATATACATTTCAATTGTCTAATAACATAAAACAGCAGTTAATTTCAGGGTAATTTTATTAATCTGGCAAAAGAATTCGTGTTATAAATTAATCTTGAGTATTATATATTATGATCAAGATTAGTCCATCGAAAATGAAAACTATACTAAAATTAAATCTCGAGTAAAGAAGTTACCCTGGAACCTGATATATAACCAAATAATTCGATCATCACTTCTATATGGATGTGTAGCGTTCAGCAAGGCTTCAAACGCCAGCTAGAAATTGCACAAAGCCAGGTACATTAGGACGAATGTCCTAATGTCTTAAGGTCAGGGACCTCTTAAGATTGCTCCGATCAAAAAATACATAAAGGATAGAGCACTGAATTTGTTTACGAAAACTGACAGGCTTACTAACACCGCATTATCGAATCTCGGAATGGTTACAGGCTCCATGGAGAAGTATGCAGATCTGAGGTCAGTTATTGTTTAGTCTGATGAAGTGATAAACAATAATCATGTCAAGGCATAGGAGTTATGAAGAAATCTCGCTGTTAATAGAGACTAAAAGTGTGCACTGACTCAACTAGCCTCAATATAATAATAATTTTTAAAAATTCACAAATTTACAAATATAAAATAAAACTTTTAACTTCTCATAAATCTCCACATCCCATTAAATTTTAACTTTGAAAAAGTTTAAAATAAAAATTTTCAATAAAAACTTATAGAAATTGTAAAATAACTGCAAAAACTTAAATATATATAAATAATTTCAAAAAAAAAATGTGAAAATACGAATAATTTCATTCAAACTCAAATTCATTAAATTTAAAGGGAATTTTTTTTCAGTGCATTTCATTCACAGAAGTGAACAAAACGAATTCATCGCCTTGAGATGATTAAAATGGCGGCCAAAGTTTACGTTTGAAAGTGAATAAAGTAAAACCAACATTAGCCAAAACAAATGGCGCGTTGCCATTTATTGCCTGAACGAATGTGCACATAACCAAAAGTGAAGCTTTTTTCTAATTCATTCATTTTGTTTTTGTTTCATTTTAATGGTACCCTAAAGTCGGTGAAAAGTGCTCGTTAACAATTTTTTACAAATAAACGGCAAAAGAAAAAGTCTTCAGCACATAACGTAGATGCGTCGTTCATTGCTACACGTTTTCTCATGGCCTTCCTCACATTTTCACATACGGTATAGTCATGTCTGTGTGTGTGTGTGTGTGCAAGTTTGATTGAGTTTTAGTTTGTGTTCAATTGTTTGTGTGTGTGCGTTCAATTGCTTCATAAGTAATCAAATCGAAAAGGACCTAAGCATTTCGCAATGTTGATATTACTTTTGTTGAAAGTGTTCCTATTATTGTTGTTGTTATTGTTATGGTTGTTTTTTTGTTGTTGTTGTTCTTGAACAAATCTATTTAGTTTTTGTGCACAAATATGCTTTGATCATGTGTACATCCATCGTCTTGTGTTTTTGCGCCGTTCACTGATTGCGAAAACTCACTCAATTAGTTGCCGCAAAGGACTCGCTTAAGTAGGCTGAAATTGAAAATGAAATCGTAAATGGTTCGTTAGGGCAAATCATGTGAGCAAACGTCTGCGTAACAGCAAACTGCCAAATTCCTTATGATAACTTTATTTCCCCTTATATGTGGTTGATGTGCATGTATATGTTTAAATGTGCGCTTATGTGCTAATAAGTGTAACGAAATGTTTGTCGATAGAATGAAATAAAAAAATTACTTTCAACGTCGATAAAATGTGTTGAAAGGTGAATTATACAAAATTTATTGTTACTGCAAATACTTCAGGTGCCTACTTCATATATTACACACACACACACACACACAATGTACTGAAATACTGACATACTGAAATTTGTGCTACTTCAATAGCTTTCAATACTATACCTTGTGCCCGTATATCACTGCCCAAGCGATATAGAAGCATTATTTAATGTGCTCGTTACATTTTGTGTAGGATTTCACATTTTATTTTTATTTTTTGTTTTTTTTTGTATTTTTATATTTTTTGTGTTTTATTCTATATATTATTTTTCTCAATTTTTTCGAATTTTTTGATTTTTTCGATTTTTTGTACAATTTCAACAGAATTTTTATTTTATTGAGTTTATGTATTGGGTTTGGCATGTTTTCATTTTCTTTCATTTTATTTATTGAACGAATTTCATTCATTTTGATTATGTCTGTTTATTAAATTTTTCTTTTAATTTATAAATTTTAACTTTACTTATTTTCTTTTTTAAATGACCAAATATTTCGCTTAGTTCGATTCACTGTATTCAATCTCAGTTCTTTCTAGAGCAAATATTTGCAATGCTTTCCCGCAATAAATAAAACGTACGGGTAAACCTTCTCGCTAAAAATAACAAATAAAAACAGTGAAAAATACAGGAGAGCACATTTTTATTTGAAAATATAGTTTCTGAAAGTTTGCACTTTTGGCATTTTGCTATTTTCCGCTTTTTACAATGTATTGCATAAATATTGGCAGTAATTCTGCACATAACTTGTACATATTTTTTTTTTTGTGTTTACAAATATTCAGCTGAGTACACGTAAGTACGTAAGGACGTAAGGACGCAGGAGAACTTTTAAAAGTGCCCCATTTAACGTTGTTGCTCAGCCCACATTCATGTTGAATTTGAAAATTTAGACGAAATAAATTCAAATATTTTGCAATATGCAAAACAATTTTGTTGCAATATTTTAGATGTTCAAACCATTAATTGCTTAAAAATGTGCAAGTAACACTTTTGTACTGCTAGGTTAAACTTGTCTAATTACACACTATGAAATTGTGTTATTATATGAAATTTTTCAATAAAATAAATTAAATTTTTAATATTTTCGTTTTTGCTAATGGTGACCTTTTCTCAGTTTTGAAGTCCTTATATACAAGGTCATCCCTTTCAATATTCAAGCAAATTATGTTGTCAATGATACATCACAACAATCAAACTGCTTATAATTATACTTTCAATTAAATATAAACATTAAACATTAGAAACAACTGTATAGTTAGCTACAAATTCAATTAATTGAAAAAAAGTTTTGTTATTTTGTCTTTAAATTAAATGCTACATATACCTTTCTAATAATTAACTTGTTTTTATCGTTATCTATCTGCAGACTAGTTTCAGGCTTAGAGATCTGCGATAGGAAACATTGTATAAACATGAAACTTTACTTCAGTAAAAAATTCAAAGTTCTCATTCCCGATCGATTGGACTAGGAAAATGGTACTCATGGAGTAGGACCAAAAGGGATATCATGGTACACCGATGGTTCAAAAACTAAAAAAGGAGTTGGTGCTGGAATATTTAATCCTAACACCAGAATCTCGCTCGGGCTGGGTATAAGACCTCTTGTCTTCTAAGCAGAGGTGTAAGCTATCAAGGTCTGCGCTCGTAACAAGATTAACAAAGGGTTGAAAGGCGCCCTTATGTGTATTTACTCAGATAGTCAAGCATCAATCAAAGCGGAAGTTTTCCTTAAAGCCTATTAGATCTATTAGACTCCTATGACATGCTGCAGCAGTTGGGTAGCAAAAACAAAGTGATGCTTTGCTGGGTGCCTGGTCGCACATGAATCAATGGTAATAAGTCTGCCGACAGTCTTGCGGGGTTAAGATTTCCGGTCAAATCTGTGAACCGGAGCCATATTGTGTATTAAATTGGTTTACAACTAGGTCTCTAATTAATAAATGGTTTTCGGCCGAGAGAAGTCGCTACTGGCGCAACATTCCAGGTAAACATCAGGGTAAAGAGCTGGTTCATCTCTACAGTTATGGTAAGGTATCCTTCTTCAACAGAGCAGAGTTTAAGTTGCTAGTGGGATATTTAACGGGTCACCATGGACTGTGTTATCACCTTAACAAAATGGGTCTGTCCGAAGAGATAGATTGTCGACTCTACTTAGAAGCAGACGAGACTTCCAGTCACATTTTCTGCGACTGTCCAGCCTTGTTCTGGGCCAGGAGGACATCACTGAGTGGAGAACTCGCTTTCTGACATTAGGAGGTCCTCAACGGACGACATTCTGGTTTTCATTCGAAAAGATCAATCTGGTCACAGTGTTCCACTCCGTTGAGAGCACTCCGTTTATTTCTATTCCTATCGTTATTGACATAAAAAATAAAATAGTGAACTCTGATTGTAGGACCAAACTGAGTTTTGTAGCGTAATTACAACACCTATAATAATATAAAACTTAAATTCTTATTTGAAATTTAAGTGTCGTAAATCAATTTTAAGAGATAGTTCGTTTCAATATTACTAATAAAACTGAAGCAACTTAAAATTTTTTCGATCCATCGCTGTATGTAAAAATAGAACTTTTATTCAAATATTAATAGGAAATAAAATTTCTGGACCGTCTTAAAAGTTTATTAATCTAAAATAATAAAAAAAATTAAGAAAACTTTCTCTTCGTTATGTTCTTTAGCATTTAAACATATTTCCTTTTATATGTACAAGAAACTTAAACAAACTTTAACATTCAAATGAGACCAAATAAAAAGGAACCAATTTAAATTCATCATAAAGATAATTTTCACCAAAGTTAGAAACAAATTATTTAAAACTACTTCCACTCCTCTCGAGTCAACAGTTCCTTCTAGATATTTATTTTTCTTTTTATATTTTTTAAAAAAATATTAAATAAGTGTAAAAGTTTATAAAAGTTCACCTTTACTCTTCAAAAATAAATAAAAATCTCTTAATTTCGTTTGCTAGTTTGCCCCCAAACTTGTATTTTCCTTAGCAAGGAATTTAAAAATTAAAATAGTTTACTTTAAGATCTTCAACGATAACATTCAACATATTTGTGCATGTTGATTCCCTCAACTGGGATGTGTCCGAAACTCGTATTTGGTTAAGTACAAGGAGCATTTTGTAGTTGCGTAAGTTTTAATGAAATTTCTTTAATTTATGCATAAAAAATTTCTAAGTGAAAGTAAAAGTAAAAGTAAGGCAAAACCAACCAATAACAAGAAAATTTCTAAGTTTTACCGTGCAGCTTTTCAATCAACCACATGAAATCATTGTCCCATAACGCACGTTTGTAGTGCAAGAGAATTCGAAGAAGCTAGGTCAAAACAAGTGCGTAAATTTAAACTTTTCGAAACCATTTTAAACTATCCGTCCGGCGTCTACATCAGTGTCATTTAGTAGATTCCCAAAGCGTCTACTTTTAATGTTTTCCATTTTCCAACTACACTCTACTTTACTCTAAACAAAATTAATCTCAGAAAATGTGGCATAGAAAATTGAAGTTTCCCACAATCCCTTGAGCTGATATTAGTAACAAAAATCTTCGTTAATATAAACAAGCAACAATTTTCCAGATTTTCCCACTTGCCTGTTTTTTGTGAGTATTTTTTGGCAAGTCAGAATGCGCATCCGATCCGCTGCGACCTCTGATGGAAACTTCAAAGCAGATGCCACGCATTTCTCGCTTTTGTATTTTTATTGTCTTCAGGCGAAAATACATAGATTTTTCTGCTTAAAAGTGAATTTTATCATTGGATATGTTAGATTTATTTTTTAAGTTATTTTTTTTCGGTTAAAAATGCAATGTCATAGTAACCACATGCCTTAATGCATAGATAAGCAATCAAAACCGACAATTTTCGTATAAAAAATATGTTAAAAATACATTTTTTGTGACAAAAAACATTTTTTGCCAATAAAATATTTCTAAAAAAAATGTCATCAAATAAGAATGGATAATAGTCAAAAAATACACAGACCACACAACAGCGACAGAAATACACAAAAATCAATTACAATAAAAATTTATTTTAATTAAATGATTTTTTAACATTTACACTCAATACTAGGTGCATTTTAGGATCACATAGCATAATAGAACCTTAAATATGTTATGGCCAAGTTAAGTGAGTACAGAGATTCATAATTACTTTTGGCCTATTAAGTGAAAATATGCGTAGTTTACACATACTATATTATTATTGTTAGGGAATGTGACACTGCGACCGTCCGGTCTATTGTGCTCCCTACTGGATTAAGAGTAAGTCTCTAAGCTCTGTTACGTTAATAAAAAGTAGTATAGAACCTACTTTACAGAGTTTTATTGCCTCTTCCGTAAGAATATACATTCCCAGGAGTCTATTCCGTATGTGCATAAGCACAGGGAATTCTAACAGTACGTGTGTGGCCGACTCCTCATTGTCTTCACAAAATCTACAGTTTGCATCGTAAGTATACCCAGTCTTGTAAATTGGTATTTTAGTTTACAGTGCTCTGTTAGAATTCCTGTGATGATTCTAAGTTTTTCTTTTAATAGCTTCATACAATTCTTGTGTCTCTTATTGTTATAGGTACCAATAAGTGATTTGGATTATTTTAATCCTGGTATATTATCCCAGTAATTCTTACTATAAGATTGAAGTGACGTTTTGATTAAAAAGGTATATCCTCAGAATATTAAATTTTGAAAAGATATGTGTTCAGTAAGAAAAGAACAAATGTTTCATTTTATGTATCAAAATTTAATGAAAAATCAAACTTTAGTGTAGAATGTACACATTTAAAAATTATATTGGCAAAATCATATTGGAAATAATGTATCCAAAAACTATATTCCAAGTCATTGAAATTTATATTAAAACATTTATATTAAACAACGTCAGTCTAATACTTTAAGGCATAGATTTCTTACAGTCGTTGAGAATTGTAAAAGATAAAGCATGCTAAAAAATTATCAGGTATTAGTAATTTCTGTTCGTTTAAGTGAATTATCATCTCTGAATCTCAAATGACATTACATACGTTTTCAAAGCTATAGCTTTGGTTTATTTTACAGCTAAATGAAGGTAGATATGAATCAGATAGGTAAACGGACTGCAGTATATACTACATGAATTAATTTAAATAAATTTAAAATATTGTATTCTAATAAAGCATAAACAATAAAATCCAAAGAATAAATTACTGAAGCAGAATTCCTATACTATACTAAATACTAAAATAAACTAAATAGTTCTGATGTAGAAAAATCATGAATAACATATTACATATTATATATATGAATTATTTATATATGGTATAACAAATATTAGGTCTGTTCCATGAACTACTCGTAATAAAACTCAAGTAAAACACAAGTAATATATACACAGTATTACTCAAAGTTACTACGAATAACTTGTGGAACAGACCTATTATATTGCATATTGTTACTTTTCAATTAAAGAATATAATAAATAAATGATAAAATTAATATGAGAATTAAACAATATTTTGTATTAATTGTTATATATTAAATGTTATATGTATGTTAAGCAATCAATCAATTGACAACTTGTTGTCATTCTACGTCATTTTTTATCAATTTCTGTATTTATCATATTATTTATTCAAAATCTAGATGTATCCTATCATCGAAGTAATATATACCAAACTGAGAATAATAAGTGGAATATAAAGTATCATGGCAATTTAGACTACAACACTAAAGTACACACTTCCTAAATGAGGCTCAAGAGAATATCGTAGAAAAAATTACAGAACGAGCAGAAAATTGGAACAAAGTCACACAATTCATCACAAATCTAATTAGGGAAAAAAAGAAAGATCTGAACGCAAACTTATCTAAAACAAAGAGCAATCTGATAACAAACCAATTTGGATCAAGAGTGGGAGCCGGAACGCACATTCCGAGATTGAAGTAGACTTTGATAGAAGACAACTGGAGTAAGCAGCTGTATCACACCAAGATGAAGGACAAGATTAATCACCTGCAGCAGTGACCCTACCTCG